TGTGGCCGGATCGGTGGTTCATACAATAATCCACGGAATGCGCTTTGGCGATGTGATACCAGGGCCTTTAAGCGCCTGGATATTATTTTGGGGATCAGTGGCGATCATACCAAATATGTTGATCCAAGAGTTGGGTACAGTCCTTTCTTCGGAAGGCGAGCACGTCGGTGGGAAGGATGAGATCATGAGAGATCTAGTGTGGCCATGGCATACGTATGGTTTAGTCTGGTGAAGAATGAATATTTGAGGGAGCATGCTATTAATGCTTTCGCTACCAATCATCACAATAAATGTCTTCGCTCATCCCAAAGAGAGTAGGTAGCACTGAAATATCTCACAACCAGGTCTGTCGATAAGATGGCTGTATAGGATGTCCAAAGCCTATCCCTTGAGAAGCCCTGCATCCTCCTGCAAAACGCGATTTAGGCCCGTCCTCTTCACACAGCTCTCGAAAGCAAACGACCGAGCCAGATCCTCTATCTCTTGCTCCGTTTTACCTCGGAACAGCTCTGCAAATTCCCAACCCAGATACTCACTCAGCAGACACTCTCTAACTGCTCGCTCGACCTGACGGTCGAACGTCCAGACGGGTGGATATTTCTTCTGCCCTAGCTCGGGCCCAACCATTTCCCGCAAGCCCTGGAGAAACGGCTCATAGACATGTTTGACGGACTTTCTATCTGTGCAGCCCCAAAAGTCCAGCCCGAGACGCTGTTTCTTCGCCACGAACGACGCAATGAGCTTCATATATGGCGACTCGGGATCAACATACACCATCCCCTGGTACCCGATATCCTTGTACAGCCAGATGCTCCAGCTAATGTCAGACTCCGCATATATCCTCAACTGCTCCCTCAGCACGCCCAACCTTGCCTCATTCGTCGCCTCAGCATCCTCTTCCCGCGCATCAGGATACACAGGCCCAAACTCGCCGTTCCAGATCGGCACCCCACGCTCTCGCATGAATTGCACCTTCCGCTCAAACTGCCTCCGCAATTTAGCCTTTTGCTCGTCCGTCCCCGCATACACTTCCTGCCCGGGGAACCCCATCTTGGCGTAATCATGGCACGCATAGACTGTGTTGGGGAGGACAGTGGTAAACCGCGAGAAGTCCATCGCGTAGGTATTTCCATCCACGAAGAGGATGTGGTCAGGATCCACGGCGCGGATGGCTCTCTCGACGCGCTCGTACCACGAAATCAGCCGGGTGTGCTCGGGATCTGCGGGCTCGTTGAGCGGATTGTACCCCGCTATTACAGGATCCCCCGCGTAATGCTTCGCGATCTCGACCCACAGATTGACCATCTGGTCCTGGAAGACCTTGAAGTCCCAGAAGAGGGCGCGGGCAAGCCCGCTATCGCTGTGCCAGTCTTGATTCTGGCCCCCGGGGACGGCGTGGAGGTCGAGAATAACGTACAGGTTGAATTGGCGGCAGATGTTGACTACGCGGTCTAGGAGGGCGAAGCCAGCCTTCTTGATTACGGCGGGGTCGGTGTCGTCGATGAAGTGGCGGTAGTTGAAGGGGAGGCGAAGGCAGTTTAGACCTAGCGAAGCGAAGAAGGCCGCGTCACCCTCGGTGAAGGAGTAGTGGATTAAGCGGTCGAAGAAGAATTGTGCCTTTTCAGGGCCTAGCACGGCGCTCATCTGGGCACGATGCTCGTGTTCGTGGCCGCTGTAGCCTGTGATGAAGTTTTCCATGTTCAGAAAGCCGCCCAGAGCTGCGCCCTTGAGGACGACCGGATTGCCGAATGCATCGACAATGGATGTGCCGGAGACATGGAGGAGGCTGCCTTTGAATATGGGAGTATTATGCGTGGTTGAGTCGTTGACCTGAGGAGACATGGCTGATTGACTGCAAGGTAGGTGTATCGAGTTGAAGTGGGAGGTGCTTTGAAAAGGGAGATAACGAAAATTTGGCCCTCTTTTGAGATAGCGACTCGAGGGAATTATTTAACTTCTATCTAGTGCGATTCGCATCGACCCATAAGGACTTTCCATTCTGTATATCTTCCCCTCATCCTTCAGAGCGAGCGATACTCCGCGATAGTGTGGAAATGGCGTCCACAGTCATGCGACATCCCTTTTCGCCACAGATTGACATTGAAGTTGTCTGTAAAATTATACTGGATAAATGAGATCAATCAAGGGTAAATGCACGGCTAAACCGCGTTGGGGTCGGTAGGTCTATCATGCTCTGGACATTGAGCTGCCTTTTCGGAAACCAGTGTTGAAGCGCTACTCGAAGGTTCGGCTGGCTACACGAATAAATTTATTGATGATGTTTTAACATATATATGATTATACATTGTCCAAAATCCGTACTCGCGCCCAGAGTAACTCCAGTATCGGGCGCATGAACCTGCAGTCCGCGGACTCCCCCTCCCAATACCGGTTTAAATCGATCGCCAGCGCAACCGCATGTTCCCAGTTCTCAGGCAGTATCAGAGGCGATGGAACTCCTTGTTCCAAAGAAGATTGTACCACCGAAGCTGCAGCCAGCAGGATCAAGGCACTTCGATTACAGGACCGAATCAGACACACCGTGCCATGGTGCCGATGATAGAATCCCGGCTGATTTACATACATCCTCTCCACATGACGGTGGAGCCCTTTCTGGACGAGGCTGCGGAGTAAAGGACTCTGTCTATGGGTATGCTGAAAACCTGTACGGTTGATTGCTGCGTCTACAAAAGGCCAGTAGATCATCTCGTAGAAGTTGAGGAGGTGTCCCCTCAAGATGAAATGGCAGACATCGTCGTTTCCAGGTGGAGCTTGGAGTGAGAGAATAGTCGGCAAGGCTGTAACCCATTCCTGAGCTTGCTCCTCATGCTCCTCCGTCGCCTTGGCCAGTTCCTCCAGTAAGTCAGATTCCGATGGCACGGGCATGTGGAGAATGGAACTGGCGACTCGGAAATGCAGCCGCCGAAGAGAGATTTCGGACAAGTAAAAGTACCATGCAAGACGTTCCCGCTGTGCGATCTCATCCATGGCCATGGCGGTAGGATCAGAGGCAGGAATCACCTCGTGCGATTCCGGCGGGGTAGGGAAGAACGGCGGATAAATGGCCAGTTCTGCCTGCGAGAGAGCGAAGTCTGGCGCTTGCAGATCAAGGCGGATCTCTCGTTCGGATTTCCAGGCGGACCAGTAGATTGCTTGCTCCGCGATGCGGTTGCTCTGCAGTGGCACTCCGGATCCTTTCCCAGGTCGAAGGAAAGAAAACTGTTGACAGCACGCCAGTGCCTGTAGGAAGTACCTCCACGCATGCTCCCGCTGGAAAATACTCATCATGTAGACCCCGGACAAAAACAGACATTGAGCCTCCCTCAAGCCTCCCGAGCAGAAGACGCTCCCGATGCGCTTCTGGGCCGCCGTGTAAAGGGATTGCGCAGTCTGGTAGACCTCAGTACCGGGGTGTGTCTGGCACTGGGCCTCGCCAAATGGAGTGGTTAGTGTCCCCAATGCGCAGACTAACAAGGCCAGGCACGAGTCGGGAGACCAGTCGATCCCATGCATGGAGATGCGGGTAATGAGGCGGCGCGTCTCGCGTTCGTTAAGGATCGGGTTCTTGACATGGACATGTGTGAAGAATCGGTCCACGGCTGAACCAGTAAATTGCGCATTGAGATCAACCGCTGCGAGATGATTGGTGATGTCGGACCATGCTTGCGATGGCTGCTCCTGCATTCCAGGGGTGGTAGGATCGAGCCCGAGACATTGCCACTGAAGGATGTTCTCTAGCGGTTGAACAAGTACCCGCGCTGGGTCTACCGTCTCGACTTTCGAGGTTACCGTCGACTTGGGTAGAACGTTTTCTGGTGATTTCGGAAGAAAATCCGTCGAGGCGCCCTGGGAGCGCAAGATGTGCTGTTCGATCTCGTCCAACCGCTCGAGAATTTTGATACTTGCCGGGTCGTAGCTAGAAAGATCCACGGGTGATTGGATGCATTTCGCCCCGACCTTTAGGCAGAATGAACAGGATGGCTTGAGGTTGTCGCATTTGGTGCGTCGAGCACGGCAGACCTGACAGGCTGTGACGGCTCGCTTCCGCGGATACGCAGCATTGCCTCTGGGGGCGGGTCTTTTGGACGTCGTAGCTGGGATTGGATTCGGACTTTGCGGGGAGGATGGCATGTTGGTGAGAGTAGACTATGTGCGTCAGTGCGTTGTCTGGTGAGGAACAAATAGCGGAGAAGTGACCATCGCGGAGTATCGCTTCTGGAGGATGTCTTATATCGTGGTCGAATTAAGGTTCGGTGAAGAATCGGCTTCCCGAGCAAAAGCGAGAGCAACGAATCAAGTCCGGACGGCGCGGAATGTCGCTCCTTAGATGGGTCTGATTCTGGAACTAGACCTGAAGCAGATCAGGCACTCTTGTGCTGGATATTTCGAGTAATCCTGGCAAACAGAAAGCATTATGACTGTTAGATGGAAGGATAATCCTTGCCCTGGGTTGTCTGCCTTCAAATATAGCTCAAACTGTTCAGGTTAAGTCTATCTGAAGCATTCAAATTCGACGGCATTATTAACATATACGTCTAATCAGTTGGTGAGCCTATATTATTACCAAGTCGACTTTAATTACCACCCTATAGATAGTCTGTATTTTACAGCGGAGGATGGTGGTCACTTGTTGAGAACCAGCCATGAGCCATCAGCCACCGTCCACCTGGATATGGTTAAGCGGAGTCTGTCTAGCCGAAAATCTGAGTTCCGGTTGATAACTTTCTGGGTTTCTCCGCACGCAGACAACCCCAGATCATCCGGGGGACCGTGAATCTAGCTACCTCCATCGCCCTCAATTACCCGGAGATGGTGCAGTAAGTTTACTAACTCACGGCTCCTTAGTTATCATGGTTTGCAGTGACATCTTAAGGGCATGTGGCCGGTTATTCTCCTGACGCCTTGCGCAAGATGTCCTGCATAAAGAGACCGTCTCTCTCGCCATTATGCTACTGGAGATCGATTCCACACGTACCACAACTTCATATAACAAAGACAACATGGAAGTCAAGGATCTCTCTGTTCAGCATGAGGAGGCTGTTGGTCCATCTCCAATCGCCGACAAGAAAATGCACACCACAGCCGACAATGACCATGAGCATTCTCTGACTTTTCAAGATGTCTGGAAGCATCATAAAGGACTGATCGGCTGGTCATTCTACTGGGCTTTTTGTGCTATTGGCTGGTATGGCCCTATCTATTTATGTCTACGGAAAGGAAAAAATACTGACCGGGATATCAGGGGCTTCGACTCTCAAATCAACGGCGCCATGATCTCGGTCCCATCCTTCCGGCGCGACTTTGGCTACATCTTTGATAACGAGCCGGTCTTGCCTGCCAATTGGCAGACAGCCTTCAACGTCATCAGCTCTGTGGGAGGGTTCTTCGGTGGCTTCATCTGCAGCTGGCTAGCCGATCGTGCGGGAAGGAAACTCGCCCTGCTAGCTGCCATCCTCCTCTGCGCCGGTGGCTGTCTTGGAGAAGTCTTCTCCGTCTCTCGGGTCGCCTTCCTCATATCCAAGCTCATTCTCGGAGTTGGTCTCGGATTCTATCTGACTCTCGGGCCACTAGTGTGCAGCGAGATCGCCCCCGTTGCGATACGTGGCCTGTCCACTGCAGGCATCAACCTCGGCATCGCTATCGGCCAGCTTCTCTCAAACGCCGTCATCAAGGCTTTTGGCTCGCGGACCGATCGCTGGGCGTATGCCGGCCCGTTCGCCGTCCAGATGATCTTCACCGTCATTCTACTTTTCGGTTTGCCGTTCGCACCTGAAAGCCCATGGTACCATGCTCGCAAGAATCAACCCGAAAAGGCGCTCAAATCCCTTCAGCGGCTCTGGGGTGAGGACTTTGACGCACAGTCTAAGCTCAGCGCGCTGCAAACTACCATCGAGGAGGAATCGCTGCAGAAGAAGGCCAGCTTCGCAGACTGTTTCCGCGGCACCAATCGTCTGCGCACGGGTGTCTCGGTGGGCGTCTTTGCGTGCCAGCATTTTGTCGGCATAATTTTCGTCCTGGGCTACTCGACCTATTTCTTCCAACTCGCAGGACTCGACGAGGCACACTCTTTCGATCTCGGAGTTGGTGTTACGGCCTGCGGAGTCGCAGGGAACATCACCAGCTGGTTTGTAGTGGAGCGCGTGGGTCGACGCCCACTCTTCGTCGGCGGCATGGCGGTATTGACACTCCTCCTCTTACTGATTGGCATCGTGGACGTTGTGCCTACCGGTGCAGCCAAGTAGGTGCAGGCCTCCTGCACCGTTATCTACGCGTTCGTCTACTTCCTCACCATTGGCGCCATCGCGTTCGTCCTACTAAGCGAAACCTCGAGTCCGACTCTACGTGCGCGCACCACTGCCTTGGCTACCGCGACTCAAGCTGTGTTTGGGATTGCGATGAACTTTGCTGTTCCGTATATGGTCAATCCGGACGAGGGCAACTTGAAGGGCAAAGTGGGGTTTGTGTTTGGTGGGTTGGCTGCTGCTGCTACGCTGGGAAGCTATCTCTACATTCCTGAGTTGAAGGGCCGAACGTTCATTGAGATTGATACCTTGTTCGCGAGATGTGTTCCACCACGGAAGATGGGTGTTACTGTGTTGGAATGAGATGTGGACGGTACGGATTGCGCAGAAGATGAACGCTATGACAACAGCAGAAATATGTGTCCTTTGTAAACTGTACTCTGAATAATATAGCCTATGCGCTATTGCCGAATAGGATGGCATTGATTACATTGTGAATATGGAGTGTTGGTACGTAAACAGCTGATCCAGTCGTACTGACAACGATATTTGACTCGTTGTAGATGGCAGTATAAAGATAGGTGTCATAAGGAGCTACAGGTGCACTTCCGCACGTTTGAGGCAACGTTTACTGGGTCGACGGACGCGAGTCGGTTTGGGCTGCCGAAATTCTTTTTCCATTTGAATATCGCGTATGCGACCCTGAGAAGCAAGGTGGGTTAAGCGGGGTCCGAATGTTGAGGCAACTAGAAGTTCATCCTATATTCATACACACCAAAGTGCTTCGATGTCCATTCAATTTTATCAGGTAGCATGAGCCTTATTAAGAAATCCTTCAGTGACTAAGGAAATTTAAAGCCGCATGGGCGTCAGGAACGATACGCAGACAAGAGCAGCAATTTCTGGTTACCCTGGTTCTGCGTAGGTTTTGTTTAAGCAGGATTGGGTCTCAGCTGAATATCAAGGGGTATAATGAGGTTTACCGACAGGTGTGGGCCAATGATCTTTTGTCTAGTTGACCATATCATGATGCATCAACTCGGCCGTCACAGGAAACTTTGTTCACCAAATATAATTGACTACAGGTATTTTACTTGCACAATCTGTAAAGGACGATCTTGCTCACGACTCGCTCGAGAATATATGTATATTATGTAATCTGATATATACTGATGTCAGGAATAGATAGGTTTCTATACGAATATACGGATGTTTGATCGAGCAGGGCGAAGCTTGTACCTTAATTCCCTTTGGTATCTTGGATTTTTCCCAAGGTCAAGTTCGGGTTGGTAGCATACCTCAAATAAAACCTAGAAATTGAAGAAATTTCTCGACTTGGCGTATAAAACGAGTCCTCTAATCGCCCTTTTGATAATGGTAACTTGACGTTCAAAAGTAGAGGATAGCCTATAACCAACTTCACGTGCTCATGTAAAATGCTCACTTAAAATTGCTTGGACCTGGCTTTATTGAGTTAACGCTCGCCGAGGTGGAAGGACACCAGCGTTCTCGAAGGACCGGTAGGTCTCAACCCAGGTGTCCAGTGTCTTATCGTTCCGCTGCCATCCGAATTTCCTCGCCTTATTTATGGACGAGATTGTCAGCCAGGATTTGCCCGTGGCCCAGTTCATAAACCCCCAAGTAGCCCAGTCGAAGGCCTCAATCTTGCCACCATACTTGGAGACAATTTGCTCCCAAATAGAACGCTTATCTCTGGCCCATTCAACCATATTGATCTCGTTGGCCAAAGTAGTAGCTTGTCCACCAGCCTTCTCAAATTTAGGTTCGGGAACCTGTCCCTGTATGCTTAGTACTGAAATGGCCGGTAAATGCATGATGGGGTGTGTACGAACCTCAAGACCAAGATAGGCAGCAAAGTCCTGCCAGATATACTTCCACACAAATACGTCACCATTGGCATGGTTGAAGGCCTCATTTTTGCAGTGATCATGACTGGCAACCCATACCGAGAGATCTGCAAGGCTTGGAGCATAAGAGTTATCATCAATGGAGTTCCAGAAGTATTTGTTTCCTGGGAATGCTGCAGGTTGATTCAACTCTCGGCAGATCAACATGTAAATAGCAATTGTCAACACCTCGGACATTCCATTTGCTGCGGATCATTTAGCTTGGATCTTTCTTTCTTTTTTAGGGGATTAGGGTAACAAGAAATGGAAATTGCTCTCCTACCATGAGGTGCGTAGCCATTGATAGCATTGGGACGAATGATGTTGTACGACCAGCTCTTCCGTCGACTTTGAACTTCCTTCAAATAGTCTTCCTGAGGGTAGTAGAAATTGTATCCCTTATCGTCATACCGAGGAAACCACTCCTCCAGGGGCACCTTCACCGGTCCCAGGTGCACACCGTAGTACTAGATCAGTTATGTCAATACAGTGATTCGTGTTATACTGGAGCACTGGCATACCTTTCCGCCTGTTTGAAGGCACACTCGCTGCAGCAAAGGACACACTGCGTCCACTGCATCGAGGAAGTTGCGGAACAAAGGAACATTCATTTCCCTGAGCACACTGAAGTCATCATTGTGGACGTACGAAGTGAAGAAGGCGTGTGTAACATCCGCGCAGATATCCCGTATTTTGGCAATAATTTTCTCGACCGGATCGAGAAAATCTATTGCTATGAATTCTACTCGCGGGTCGGTCCAACCATTCGGAAGAGGCTTTCTAGATGTCACGATTATCTTGCTCCTGAAAAACTCGTAAGCATCTTGCGGCCCTTGAGATGGACATAGGCTATCAAGCGCAAATTGGGTGTCAGTCATACCACTCCTCCTTAGGCTGGCGTACCAGGTGCTCGATTATAGAGTACCCGCTGATGCCATTGGCACCGGTGACGAAGGCAATCTTCGCACTTGGTAAAGCAGTCATGATTCAGGATTAATCGAAAACGTCACTTGTTCGAATGTTGCTGTGCCCAGTCTTTCTTGCCTTCCCTCATTACCTGGCGCTCCGTTTTATAACTGGCCTCATCTACCTTCGGCTCAATATGTCCGTCGATTTTAGTCTCTTCCGAACACCCGAGACGATACGAGGGCCGGATACAACGGCATGCTAGGGCATTTTGGATCAGAGGGATCATGTCGGCGTTAGCTTTGTCTTCGGAAGCGGAATTTGACGTGTTTGGAAGGATCTGCCCCAAGGCACATAAATTCGAAAATGCGTTGCTGAAGTATCCGCCGGAGAGCGGACGGGCGATATGCAGGCCAGCCACCCGAAGAACGTATCAGAGCTTGTACCATAGTATATTGACTGGGCAGTCTTCATGCTCCACAGAATCTCAGAACCAGTGGACGAGTCAGCGTAGGACATTGATGATCGGCACGGCTGTGGCTGGGCTTATTCAAACCATTTACTTCTATCCCGTAGTTTCCATGGGTCCGCTCCAAGTAGTGTATCCGCTTTTGCGGGTAGCAAGCATTTCCGAGCCAATTCCGTCAACTAAGAGAGCTTTCCCCGATAGACACCTCCCGAGCAACGGTCCGGCGATATGACATCGGACTGATACTTCCGATACAGGTCCCATTAGTGGCGGATTTGTTTATCAGTATCCAGGCCGGCGCTGGGTCAGGCTCATTTTCCCTGGGATTTCCCTAGAAATTTTTCGTCTTCTGCAAGGAGACCTACGAGCCGCGATCCTGAGAGCCAAAGGCCGTATATCGAAGAGTGCTGACGGTGCACTTACTTCACTCTCTCGTCTAGTCTAGCGACGCCTGTCAGTTAATCGCGTTTCTTTCTGTTATGGCAGCATAGTGAAACCATGATCCTGTACTCATTCGGGAAAGGTGAGGCCAATATTTGGTTCCGAAATTTATCTGTCCTATTTGGCCAGTTGACTGGGGGAGCTCGCGTTGGACCGAGCAATGTCCCACGGACGGTTGGTGGTTTCCTATACATCCCCGACAATAGCATGGTCGTGCTGCGAGGAGTAGCATCCCAACGCTCTACGAAGAGCCAACAATGTCGTGTATGCGACAGATTTTCCCGCTGGTTAGGCATTTGGGACCCAAAAAGTCGAACCCATGCAAATGCTACTCTTTATGAGGTAGAAAAGTGAGAGGGAGGAGGCAAGTGAAGAAAAGATATAGGAAACGGCGTGGTACAGGCAATTGCGGGAAATCTGGCTAAATAGTAAAGGGTCCGCAAGAACAGAACCAAAGGCAAATGGCCAGCACAGGCGCCTGGGCGACGATAAAAGTTCGCCTGTCTAGAATGCATTTATATAGTAGGTGAGGATGCTGAGAAAATCACATTAGTGATCTCCAAGACGCCCACCGGCAAACAGCACCGTCTCGTCTGTTGCTCTGAGACTCTGGCATACTTACACCTGTTACAGAAGTCTATTAGGTCAGTCAGGCGAAAAAGGCAGAGAATCCGAATCCTCGAGCTTCCTATATCTCGAACTGCGCAAAAGAGACGTTACGGAAGGCGGCGATTTGGAGACTTCTGCTCCTCTCGACGCGAGTAGCTGCATCTTTTGAAACATGAGTTATGCTTTATGGTTGACTATATCTCCTATATCCATTAGGCCAATCAAATAGTCCTGTGCTGTTTCACGGGATTCGGCATCCTATGCGTGTAGGTCGAATTTGGACGAAATTCCGTAGATAGCTTAGATCGGCAATTTTTCCTTGGAAAATCGGCTCCTACCTAGCTGACGAAGCCTGGATTACCTGAATATCTATGCTTGCGAAATCGGATGAAGACTAATCGTGTTATCCACAGCTTAGGCTTTCAGTATAAATACGCTTCTGTAGTTCAAAGGGGCTTCAGCAAGCAGGGAGAATTGAGACGATCCTTGCCGTCTGTATCTGACAATGTCCTACTTCACCAAGATGAACTTTAGGTCTCTCGCTATCCTGGCTTTCTGCAGTCAAGTATGCTTCGCCCGCTCCTCCCCTTGCCTCGTACCAACAACCAACCACACACTCGCTTCAACCTCAATAATCTTCCAACTCGACAAAAACAACACTTGGTTTGAGAACATCTTTGTCCGACCAAACGGAAACCTCTTAGCTACACGCTTAGACCTTCCGGAGTTATGGTCCATCACCCGAGGTCCCAACAACACCGCAGGATCCGGTAGCCTCCTCTACACCTTCCCTAACGCTACCAGCCTCCTTGGCATAGCACCCATAGACCACGACACCTACGCGGTCGTAGCCGGCAACGTCTCAATGTCCACATTCACTGCCACCCCAGCCTCCTTCGCGATCTGGACCATCGACGTCACAGATCCTGACCATCCTATTGCCCGCCCCCTCGTTCGCATGCCCGAAGCATCTTTCTTAGACGGCATAACCCGCGTCAACGAAGACATCTACCTCATCACCGACGCTGTAAAAGGAGAAATCTGGCGTCTGAACATAACGAGCGGAGAGTACTCGGCTGGCCTGTCGAAGAGCGTGATGTTGCCTGCATCCTCATCCAGCACCAGGATCGGGGTTAATGGGGTAAAAGTCCGGGACGGCTACGTGTATTTTACTAGTACCTCAAAGGGGATTTTTGGACGGATACCCGTTAACAAGGACATGGTGCAAACGAGTCATATGGAGATAATCACCAGCGGGCTCACGCTTGATGACTTCTACTTGGCGCAGGATGGAAGGGCGTACTTAGCTACAAACAGTGAGAATAGGCTGTTTGAGGTGTTGCCTGATGGGAAGGTCCGTCTTGTTGCTGGCGGGTTGAATGAGTTGACGGTGGCGGGCTTGACAGCTGTTACGAGGAGCCAAGATGGAAGGACCCTGTACGTTACTACAAATGGGGGAATGTCTTCGCCAGTTTCTTGTACGATGGTCGAGCCGGCGAAGATCGTGGCTGTGAAACTATGGTAGATTCAAGGCATCTGGTTGGCCTGGTCAAACAGAATTCTGCTGGTAGTATGGATGACAGCTTCGTATACAGAATGTATTCAGCGTAGAGACAGATTGAATTCCAATCCAATTCATCTTGTACATAGCCCCTCAAGTTGTCAGATGACCTTCTTGCGAATAGTAGAAGTAGTAGCGCTTGTCATCGTAGCGGGGAACCGTTCTCCTAATGGCACTCTCACAGTTCCAATATGGACACCATAATACTAATCCAGGTCAGACGGATATTTCTAGGGGAATGGGGTTGACATACCTTGCCGCCAGCCTGGAGGCACACGCGCTACAGCTTGGGGCACGGCATCGACGGCGTCAAGGAAGTTGCGACCAGGGGGACTTTCTTTTCCCGCAGCAAGTTGAAGTCATCGTTATGAACGTACGAAGTGGAAAAGGCATGGGTTACGTCGGCACAGATGTCCTTCCCCTCCTGGCCTATATGCACCATTCCTTGTACCTCACCGTGGGACCAGCCCACAAACGGAAGCCTCGCTGTACCTGACCATAATATGTCATACTAGAACTGGAAAGACAAGGGGATCAAAGCTCCGTAGTCCTTATTACTATAGTCATTTTCTTAGGCAGCGGTAATGTACTATTTGCCTAGATTGACATGGGGCAATTTCAGTCAATCATCACCTCTGCACCACCAGTTGCGGTGAATTACAAAGGAGAAGGGTGCAGCGATTGGTTGACACCAGAGCCTGTTGTGAATCGAGGCTCTATCAAGTAGGCAGTAGAGTTTCGTATATCGAACTTATTCTGCACTGAATCAGATCGATTGGAGATCAATCTGATATTCAACTTGTATATAAAAGCTCATGCTTTCAGATGTGAGTTTAAGTATAATCAACCTTGCCCAAAATCAAAATATATTTCAATGAAAGCAAAGCGGAGATGTGTCTGGATATTAAGCTATAAAATCTTTTTAGCATTTGCTACTTGCAAAGATTAACCTCATAGACGCTCGTAATAATCCTATTATCCAGAAAGCAGACTACTAATCCCAATCTTGTATCCCTTTATACTAGCTTTGACCCTCACAGATTGGTATGTTTTATACCAGGATGGCCAAGGATGGCTCAGGGAGAGATCCACTATAGTTATACTAGAAAAGGAAGTTCCTTGCAGGACACGCAGACCTAATAGCTAATAAGGCTCGTTGGAATGTTGCTTCGTGGATATGGCACATAGGCTTTTCCTCTGTAGCACCCCGTCCTCCTACATTAGTCGATCTCGTTCTCTCCTCGAAATTATTGGACTGCGTTGGCGAATCTTCCATCCATATCGGTAGAAAACCAGCGGAATTGGAATGAGAGCGATTTCCAGCAGCGCCAGCATGGTCCCCGAGTACTCAGATCCCCTTCGGTGATACATCTGAGATCCAGCCAAGGGCAAAACTCCCCCAAATATGTACCGCACCATTGAGTTCCCGGCCAGAGCCGACGCGGCATAAATTGTGTAGCTTCCGGCAAGGTAATTGGTAGCATAGATGAATACCAGCCCATTTCCCAGACCAAACGGCACCCCAGCTAGGATCGGCCAAATCCAGTGGATTGACGGCCGCGCCGTCCACGAAAACCAAATTTCGCCGATGGGGATCAATATGCTCCCGATGCAGACCGGGCTGACAGACGCTTCTGGCGAGATCTGTCCAGTCAAAGGGTCCCGCGGGTGTAGATTGATCAGCGTGCGCATCAAGGGCTCTGCCAATACCGCCAGCACAACGCCAACGCCGATCCCGCAGTATCCCAGCCCTGCCAGCCCGGGAGACCAGCCTCGTTCCTCTTCGAAGACGATCGGGTATCCAACAAAACAGAGGAACAACACCGCGTACACAACACCTACGTAGAGATTCCAGAAGAGGCATATAGGCTCGAAGACGGCCATGGAAAAGGGCCGTGCTAGGTTCATTCGAAGGAGTTTCCAACCGTTGTGGCTAGTGTCATGTCGGCTCCACCACCGGAGGTCTTCCGTCTCTTTCTGCTTTTTCTGTGTCTTGGCCCGCAGGATTGCCGGTGCATAAGTTTCTTTAGAAAACGCCAAAGCGACGAGGCTTACTCCGGCACAGACGAGGACAACCCAATTGGTCCATCGCCAACCGAGATACTGGTATACGAAACCGCCGATGATGGGGCCTCTCAATTCACAAGTCTCAGGGCAAGAAGATGGACATACCTAGTACAGGCCCATTCATAGCCCCCAAGCTCCACAGACTAAATGCCAGAGCACGGTGCTTCTCACTGACGACGTCATTCACTGTGCCAGGGGCGCTTGCAATCGTTGCACTCCCGAAAAATCCACTAAATACACGGCTGACTAAAACAGCCGCCAGGTTGGGTGCCAGTGCCACGGGTATCATTAACACTGCAAAAAGAGCAGTTGTGACTAGGTAGATAAGGCGGCGTCCGTACATCTCTGATAGGGGAGCCAAAATCAGACAGCCCGCAGCCAGTCCCAGTAGGTAGGTCGTCAACCCAAGGAGGACCATCGTCCGAGACTCAATGCCAAACTCTTTCTGGATGCCAGGTACTCCGGAAGTGTATGATGTAGAATACAGGATTCTGAGGTGGCTGAGTCAGTTTGGGGGAATATAGTCAGTCGAAGGAAGACAGGCCACAAACACGCAGGTGGTGGAGAAAGAAACAGCGCCAACAATAAAACTTCGATACCAAATGGACCAATTTCGAGGATTTTCTGGGTCATCCGGCTCCCAGTCGACTTCGAAGTCGGGATTGCGCATGGGTGGATCGTATTGAACGTCCATTTCGGGACGTGGGTTCTGGATTTGGGCTTTGGCCTCGTCCTCACTGAGGCCAATCGTTTATCTCTGAGACGATATGGTTCCGGGAGCTAGGTATGGACACATAGCATGAGCATCGACAGGGCAATTCTTAGTAAATCGAGTTACGACTGTTGGGTATTTGACGTGATAGGCCAGACAAATGCAAACGATATTCGGGTTTAGCAGAAAGACAGGGAACTTAGAACGAGAGTAACGCTGCTAAAAGTACAAACTCCGTGCTCTTGAACTGCTTGGTGGAAGAAGACGTGGGATGCGAACAGGATTCGGGCCCCGCGAGTCATGTCTTTGTGGATGATCTGCTACAGCTTCATCAGTCTATGGCTCCGAAAGAGAATGTAGGATTCCAGAGTACTATACAAGGCAGATTGGGCTCGACGTCTAAAGGTGATTTCGTACAGAATACACCGTAAGTAAGTGTTGCCTGCAGGCTTAGCCTATGGTGCCGAGAGTCCGGTTGAACTGCAAACTGCCCTCATGTGGCCACTTCCGACACGGCTGTCCTTCGATCACCTGGTCTTCCATCGTTCATTCAGCCTGGAGTCTACATGGAAATCAAGTGGGGCTTTGACAAGTCGGTCAGCATCCTTTCAACGGTTAAGCAGGTTATGAACGGAAATTCAACGGAATTCTTTCTCAATAACCACGGAGGAAAAGGAACCATTGTGAGCGACCCACAAACCCTCGATCCACTCAATGTCTTCGGTCCATGTCAATCAATTCGGAACGCTCTTGATGGCATCTCTTAGAGGGGCTGCATGCTGAGAAACGACCGGCATGAGCAATCCGGACAAGACAACGCCGTGGTGGATTCACTTGACTCACTGAATCGACGCAGCATAGCTACAAACCGGCTACCCTCAAGATGATCAGCAATCTGACACCCCATTTTCAGCATGAGCTCGGCAGCGATGCCCCATCGTCATCAGCTCCGGACAGATTCCAGTTCCTATATTTCCGTGTCCTTGCATGGAACAAGCAAGGTAGGTGATTCAAAAATCGACATCACGCCCGTGTTGGAAGTAAGAAAAAACCCACCGACAGACACAGAAGTGACAGCATTTCGAGTGCGATACAAGATGCAAATGGGCCTCCAGTCTGAAAAGCTAGCTTTTGTTACCGGTGCCAACGGCATCAGCGGCTTTGCAATCACCGAGCACCTCGTTCGACAGCCCAGGGAGGAATGGTACGATAAATGTCCTGAGCACATGTTGAAAGGCAAAAAACTAACAGCGTCCTTCGCGGTAGGTCTAAGATCATTGTGACATCGAGACGACCGCTCCCAAATCCCTGGATCGACCCGCGTGTCGAGTTCGTCGCCCTCGATTTCCTCGCTCCTTTGGAGAAGATCATTGCAAAGATGAAAGATATCTGCGCCCCGGTTACGCACGCATTTTTCACGTCCTACGTCCACAACGACGATTTCAGGGTCCTCCGTGAGAAGAATGTTCCTCTGTTCCATAATTTCCTCGACGCGCTGGATACTGTGTGCCCGAGGTTGCAGCGAGTGTGATTGCAGACGGGTGGCAAGGTGAGCGTTTCAACGGTTTGATCATGGCCGGAGTCCAAATAGCTGATATCGTGAGCTAGTATTACGGAGTGCATCTCGGTCCTGTCAAAGTTCCTCTGGAGGAGGACTTTCCCCGTTACAATGACCAGGGGTACAATTTCTACTACAGTCAGGAGGACTATCTGCGGGCAGTTCAGAAGCGACGGCGCACCTGGTCGTATAATATTATCCGTCCAAATGCCATAAATGGATTTGCACCTCACGGTGAGTATTATACATAAGAGCATAACAGATTTATTCTCCCTGTCTCAGCCATGAATGAAGAGCCAGCTCTAAGTGATCCGCGATTCTCTAGCAAACAGCATGTCGGGGCATTAACCATTGTCATCTACATGCTTATCTGCCGTGAGCTTAACGAGCCCGCCAAATTCCCCGGCAATGAGTACTTCTGGAACTCCGTTGATGACAGCTCTTATGCTCCTAGTCTTGCTGATCTTTCAGTCTGGGCCGTAAGCCACGACCACTGCAAAGATGAGGCCTTCAACCACGTGAATGGTGATGTCTTTGTGTGGAAGTACCTGTGGCAGGACATTGCGGAGTACTTTGGCCTTAAGGTTTGAAGTATTTCCCTTCCCTCGGTAGAGAAACCCAGGAAATCTAACCACCCCTACAGGTCCCTGAGCCCAAGTTCGAAAAGGCTGCTGGTCAAGCTGAAACCCTAAGCAATGAGATTGACATGGTGGAATGGGCAAAAGATAAGAAGGAGGTATGGGAGAGAGTAGTCCAGAAGTACGGGGGCAAGCGTGAAGCCTTTGACTGGGGCACATGGGGGTTCTTCAACTGGGCTACAGGTAAGTCATGGCTGATGATCTCATCAATCAGCAAGGCTAGGAAATTCGGTTGGCATCGGGTTGATAAGACACTCGACACCTGGATCGAAACATATCGGTCATTTGAGAACGCGGGTGTTCTTCCGTCGCATAGGGAGTTGTTACAAAATAGTTAAGGCTACTGAAAGACGGTCTCGAAGAGGATCGACGGGTACGACTCGTGCATCATCACATGGGCGAATGTATTTGACCGGGATGAGGTTCCAGTCATGCACCTCAGATTCCTGCCCAGAACGTATTCCATATCCTTTGGATAGAAACGGAATTACGTGAAACGCTGAGTCAACATTAAAATAATAAGTAGATAGATAGTTGGTTTAGACATCAAAAACATTGTCAGACGGAGATGTCCATTCATAATTCCGACAATTCCGACAATTCCGTGGACGCAAGAGTCCGAACACAAACTCGGCAGCCAAATGCCGATCAAGTGGAGTCAATGGGGGATTTCCGGATGTTCCATCCCAAATTCTTTTGCACCAGTTGGTGATTGCAAATTACAGTCTCAAAATCACTACATCACTGCAAGATGCCCAGCAAACCAGCTGCACCATCAGGGACTGGAATGACAGGATCTTGGCTGAAAGACAAAGGGACTGCCGATAGGCAGCATCCCCAGCACGAAGACTCGCACAGCGATGGCAACGACTTGGATCACCCGACTCCAAAGCGGCGAAAAAGAGGAAAATACGTGTCCATGGCATGGTACTGTGAATTCCTTCCTGTTACTTTCTTTCATAAGTCAGTGGATACTGATCCCGACAGTGACCAGTGCCAACGGAGAAAAATCAAAGTAAAACGCCCCTGCCCCAGCACCACGGTATGTAACTACTAAGTGCTGTTGTAGTGTGACGGAACCCTTCCCTGTCAGCCTTGTCGCCTGTATGGACGGGGCTGTGGTAGGCAAACCGTTGACTTGCGTCGTCGGAGGACGACTGGGCATGAGACGATGGAAACCCGTGGCAGGCAACCAGCAATATTGGCACAAAGTTGGAATCAGCAGGATTACGGGTTCGTTAACTTCTCCTGCTCTCCAAAATCACGTCCGAATATCAAATGAATTCATCTAGGTCCACAATTAAAGAAGTATACAACCGGCTAGAACAGGTCGAGAAAAAAGTAAATCTCATTCTTTCCGCCATACTTCCCAGCGGCGATGGAGGCGAACCAACCGAGTCAGAAGCCAGCTCTGTAGCTACGGAGTCTGACAATCTTGGATGTACAGAAACCGGCCCAATCAGTACCGCCAGGGGCCAACAGCCGGGGCATATCCAGCTACCGACCTTCACCGGCGAGACTTCCATCGGATACGCTCTCAATCAGGTAACAAGCAATCTGGAGAAAATGCGAGACAAGTTCAGTATCATGAACACTCCGCCCCCACCGCAGATGTCTACTCCTGCTTTGACGCCCACACCGGACAAAGATGATCTGTGGGTGAACAAGGACATTCGAAGCTTCTTGCGTAACCATGATATTGAGCCTAACAGACCACAATGGGATAACCTTCTGACGGTATTTTGTAACGAAGTCCATATTATGTACCCATTCCTTCATTTGCCGACACTATGGGACCGATACAGGAGCTTTGTGGATGCTTGTTCACCTGAACCCACAAATCCAAGTGTTCTGAATCAACGGGATGACCAAGTATCCATCTCTCAAATCATGATGTGTCTGGCAATTGGGAGATGTACCGAGTCTCTGCGAATCAACAGTGAAGATCGGCACTCAGCTGGTTGGAGTCTCTATGCAGCTGCCATGGACCTCTTTGGAGATGTGCTTAGCATTTTTGCTGAGTGTTCTGATCATTTGTTGGTACTGCAGGCTCTAGCATTGGCGGTATTATCTCTCTCCTCTGACTGAAAAATGGAGCTTTGCTGACTCTCTTAGGTTGTCTATTTGTTTCGCTTGGACATAACAGCCAAGGCAGAAAAGCTCTTGGCTCTTGCCATATCCCATGCTTATAACATTGGTCTGCACAGAGCGAAGGTTGTTAATAACACCTTGTCAGTGTTTGAGGCAGAGATGTGCCGGCGACTATGGTGGAGCCTTTTTATACTGGATCGGCGCTTGGCAATTGACACCAGCCGTCCGTTCTTGATCCAAGACCTCAACGTTGATACACCTTTGCCTCAAGACCTCGACAACTCGTGGCTGCTTCATCACAGAGAAGACCTAGCCATCAGGCAACATGTAGCTCCGCAACCAGAAAAGGCACTGAACAATATCACCCCGATCCCTTACCTACAGGCGATGGTCACTTATTCGAGGGTTCTAGGAAAGGTCTGGGAGGCCATTTACAGTGACCCTGAAATGAATTCTGCACCTAGTCGGCCTCTTTACGAACCCCTCGAATATATACTTTTCTTGGCCCAGAAAGACATTCGATCGGAATTCGCATATAATGGTAGTGGGCAGTGGAGGACACAATTTAGCTCATCGCCATGGTGGCTGGTCAAGCAGCAAGTACTCATGCGGATGGTACGTCCTTCTCTATTTTGAACACGGCTCCCCTACTGACCGCGTCCTAGCGATGGTTATCACTCCACCTTCTGATACGTAAGCCCATGTTACAAGGGAGAGCCTCCCTCCGAGCGTCCGGACTCGACGCCGAAAAAAATGACGTGACCTGTATGCAGATTGCGATCAGAATCATTGAAGAATGTGGTTATCTACTTGAGGAGAAAGCAACTTACGCCTTTCCGTTCTTTCACTACCTGCTAAGCGCCACAATCGTCTCGCTTGGTCTCATAATCAAGGAGCCAACCTTCAAGGTTTCTTACGGTCCTACCACTCTTCAGGCAGCTCAGATACTAAAGTCCTACTGCCGCAAGACATGGGTTTCCGGGAAGCTGATACGGAGCGTGCTTCGACTGAGCCAGATGGCATTGCAGGTACTAGACTGTCCCAAATCCTTCTCCTGCCGTGATCCACATGCTCCCCAGAAGAAACCCCAATCCATAGAAAGGCCTGGAACCCCGTTGCACAGGCTCTACGGTGAAGATTCCGATCAGAACCTGCGACATCTCTCGGACCAGCAATTTGTCCCAACTCAAGGGCCTGGCAGGAACAAAGATATGGACCCCAACTGCCCCACCATCTCCAACGCGCCGCCGCCGTACACAGAATCTACTGGGTTAGGCAACCTGGTGGTAACTGATTTCGACTTCAAAGAGAGCTCTCAGCCAGCCTCGCCCTGCGAAATTACTGCTCAATTTAGGGCTTCGGCGAACTTAACCCAGTCAAGCGATAATGATACCGCCAGGACAGGGGAAATCCTTCTTGACAGGTCGTCGATGGCTACATATCAAGTGTCCACAGGAGCGCGGGCTGATACTGGTGAGTGCGTGGCTGGGGATATGGAATGGCTCGAAGCACTATTTGGGAATTATCTGGATTCAAATCTTATTATTCGAGAGCATGATTGATTTGAGCTTGTAGGCTTTTGCTGTGGTTAGGCAACTCATTGGTTGGCCTGGCTAGGTCTGTCAGCGAGGTCCACTGTTATCCTAAGATGTGTCCTAGGATTTGTCAACCCGCATGACAGAGATGAGAATGGTGACACACGCCAAAAAAGAAGAAAACAGATTTCTGCTGAGATTTGTGAGACCTACTACCAGGTTATCCTACCAATTTATGTCTTGAACTAGCGGGAAATGTCTGTTTTACTATTTCCCCACCCACAAATATTGATGTTTATGCGCCTCAACACTCTGGAGAAGATCATGTTCTAATTCTGACTTTTGCCCTCATTATTGGTATCGAAATCGTCATAATATGGGTCTCTAGAGACCACTCACAGGAAGCACAGCGACCAAGGGCACTTGTGCTGATTTAATCAATCCGAAACCCCTATTCGCAAATGGACACACTGCAAAGCTATATGCACCGAGACCATGGTCTTCGTAAACTCACGCCTATCTTATAATGTGATCGTTTGTCTTTCTGATCGTATTCTCAAGTCCATTACGTACTGGACCAAACGCGAACAAGCTGCGCTCTGGAAGCCCTCCCCTTGGTCATTCATCCTGCAGTTCTACCTTCTGAACGCGGCCAAGGCTTGTATTGGTAGGAAAATAAAGTGAACACTAAGCTCAGATTCCAAGAACGAACCATTGTTCTGCCGGGGCGTAATGTTGCTTATTGCTGCTCACAGTGCAAAATAAGGTTCCCTTGGTACAGGTGAAGCCGAGATTGGTGTGGCCAACATAAGGATCCTACCAGCCGCCTTATTGCAGTTTACCATGAAACAGGCTTAGATCTCCGTTTTCATCTATCAATTGCAAACAATGAAGTAATATCACAATGTCGCAAGCCTTCCATCATTGTTCATCTACCTATAGAAGCCGGGTAAGCCCAGCTCTTACTCAAGGTTGTATTTTCCTTGCTCAACACAGATGGCTCTATCTTCTACTTCTACTATATGCACACTATCCCTAGGCACCGTAAACAAAATTCAACCACAAAGGCCATGGCTTTTAGTCTTTTATCCTCGGTAGCTTTCCTAATCACAGCAACCATAGTCGCAGCAAACCCAACTGTGACCATCTCATCAGGCATTGTGATAGGAACTACAGTTACGCCAGTTAATCAGCCAAGCGCTACTGCAGTAGTAAATGCTTTCTTGGGTATTCCATTTGCAAAATCCCCACCACAGAGATTCTCCCCTCCCGAAGAGCCGGAGCCATGGTCAACTCCGTTACAGGCACAGCGCCTGGCACCATCATGTCCTCAACAAAATATTACAGGTTAGCTTTCCCTTAAATCATAGAGGAAATAATACGGTCTGCTAAAAATAGTAAATGATTCAGTCGACAGCCTGAGCTTGGAAAGGCAACTGGCACTTACATCAGCTGGAGATATTCAACAGAGCGAGGACTGTTTGTATTTAAATGTATATGCGCCACAAAATGTGTCTTCATCAAGCCTAACAGAAGTCATGTTCTGGATTCATGGGGTAAGTCGTCTGCACCAGTGATTGCAGTTTTTTTCGCCGTAGTCTGACCTATTCTTAAGGGAGACCTGATTAGCGGCTCTGCGTCTCAGACTTTGTATACTGACTCGCCACTACCAATTACTGAGAACGTCGTCCTTGTTATTCCCAATTACCGTTTAAGCAGTATGTTGCATACCCAGAGTCTCCCTTTATAGCATTGAAGGACTGACTCAGGCCTACAGTGTTTGGCTTCTCAAACTCCCCGGAGATTCCTTCGGGGCAGCAAAACTCTGGGTTTCTCGACCAACGGCTTGCTCTCAATTGGACTCAAAAGAATATCCAACGGTTTGGTGGTGATCCAAGCAAGGTCACAATATTTAGCGAGTCCGCTGGCGGCTGGTCAGCCAAGCAGCTTCTTGCTATACCACCTTCGCCGCTCCCATTTCAAGCAGCAATTATCGAATCCGAGGCACTTGAATTGCCTGGAAATGGAACTGGAAACTACCAGAATGTTTCGCAATATTTCAATTGCACTGATATCGATTGCCTTCGTAACGTTTCGATGAACAGCATTCAAGACTATGTCTCGAAGAATAATCTGTTTTTCAAACCCGTTGCCGACAATGTGACTTCTGTCTCAGATATAAGAAGCAGCATCAACAATGGCACATTTGCTAACGTATCAATGATCATTGGGACCAACAAGAATGAATTAAGCAAATTAGTGTACCTAATCTCAGGCGATGGCACTTTCAATGTGAACCAAACCTTGGACAACATATGCGCCGCACTCCACCTACAGATGCCTACCTGTAACTTTTTTATCGGGCAGCTTCAGAATTTGGTGGGGGTAACTTGACTTGGCCAGACATTAGCCGGTATGATATCATTCTCTCATTTCGCTCTGAAGAAATGGAAAGGACGAAGGCTAATACCAGCGAATAGCATTGTTACAGATACAGTCTTCACCTGCCCTGCAGGGGCAATCGCCAACTACACAAGTGGACATGGTCGCAAGGTCTGGCGATACCGTTACTCAGCTTCTTTGAATGATACAGGAACATTTCCTGGCGAAGGCGCGGTTCATGCATCTGAGGTACCGATAGTATTCGGGACCTATGCAACTGAGAATGCAACGGACCAGGAAGTTGCCCTCAGCAAGTATATGCAGCAGGCATGGGCCAGCTTTGCGAAGAACCCAGACGGTGGGCCCGGATGGCCCCAGATGGGTACGAATGGAGGTCTTGAACTGGCTGATATTGGCAGTGGCAATAGTTCTGGGGAAAACAACATCACATTCTGGGAGGCGGACAGTTACTGTGACACTCTTCTTGGGTATGCTGAAGTACTGGGATTTGCATGGTAAATGTGTTATTCTCAAGCCTATCTTCAAAAGAATATGGGGAACGGCAAAATGGATCTCAGTTTACTAATATACACTTGCTAACGTGTCTCCATAAAACTACCTATTACGTACAGCATGTGAGGAATGCTAATTAGATAATTCCACTCCTCCATCTCCCAACAGCTGTGAAAAGGATGCCCCTGCGTGGCTTATAGGCTGTTAAATCAATATCGACGATACCAAAATAGAAATACCGCAGATATGTCCGCTTTTGGCGCCGCCACACCTGCAGTAAGAAGCAAGTAAAGGCATACCCAGGACTCACAGGTTAGGATATAAGCATAGCTGCAAAAACAGACAGGAGCATGACGATACTCAGAGACGACCAAGAGCAAAATCTTGACCCCTCACTTGTCGGGGAGGGGCTTGAACTCGAAGTAGAAGTAGCCGTCGAAGTCGAACTGGAACCGGAATTCGAACTCGAGCTTGTTGTAGCACTGCTACTAGTAGAGGAGCCAGTGGACGTCATAGTTTGAGAGGTACCGCTGCTCGTCGTGGACGCAGTGCTCGGTTTTCCTAATGTGCCACCACCAACCGCAGCAGGTACCGTAGTATCTCCTGCATCCTTTGCTGCTGACTTGAATGCATCAAGAGTATCTGGGCCATTGCGTCTGCGGGGTAGGAATACACAGTCAGACACATGCTTGTTCTCCGGGCGTTGTCATACTCACGGAGGATTGATGACCCCGACCATACCAGCCTGGCAATGTCCGACTTGGGGACAGTAGTACCAGATAGGGTTGGTATCGTTAACAGTCAATGTAAAGACCTCAGGCTTTGGAAGTAAAGGTATCAGTATGCTGCTTTTCCTAAAGACTTCACTGAAGGACTCACAGATTCTCCGTCTGTGGCTGGAATAAACCCGCTGAAGAAACTCGACTGGTTAAACGGGTGGCACGGTTTTGAAAAGGCACCCTGAGCCACTGCATGGTTGCCCGGGTAGAAGTGGAACTCGACTTTGCTTCCGGGGGAGACTGAAAGAGTGTCTGGATCGAATGTGAGACCATGCTCCCCTACATCAACAGTGTGGACAGCACTCGCAGCCGAGGATGATGTAGTTGTTGCTTGGCCACCGGACTGGGCATAGATGAGGGACAGCCACGACATGGCAAGGATGAGATTCAGCGCTCCGGCCATTGTTCCTATGCACTAATTGAACTTGTCCTATGTGGTAAATGAGGTTGTTCAATTCTACCCGTATGGTCCCAATGCCGATTTATAATCTTGCAGGAACTCGTACTAGCTGTCTCATAAGAGAATAAGTCCTCTCGTCATCATCCAGGAAGACCAGAATACATGCGGTTGCATGATCACTGGAGTGAAAGCCAAAATAAGAGTTACCCCAATGACAGTATACCGGACACTGCGCCACTGTACATAGACGCAAAACTCGGATCACAGGACACGAGGTACAGACTAAACCCGTGGAAGCAGTAAATTGGTGGGAGTGTCGAGCTATTTTTAGGGCTGTACAGTACCGACAACTTGGTGGACCAGCGACACCTTCAGTCTTAATAGGTTGGAGTAAAGAGCGCTAGGACAAAGGTACATTAAGCTTCCTATGTAAGTAGGGTCATTGCGGCGATGCTAGAACCTAGTCAATGTGCTTGTCGCCACCGTGGCGCTCAACCCCATGATCTGACCATCCCAAACTCAATTGTAGTTGTTGTGATGGGATATATACTTTGACAGCATGTTGCATTTGTGGTTCCCTTCTTTGTACCATGGAACAGTGTGTTCTCGCCGGGATCTATATCAGCCCACCAGCAATATCAAGATGGAGGTACTCTGTGTTGTCTTACGCGTTGCAATATGATTATTCCTCATATGGCTGTGCTGTGCTCATCCAGCTTCGACCATCTATAAAGCAACATACAGAAGGTTTGGCACTGCCCTGCTTCTGCGCCATTCTGATGGGGACTGAGCCGACGATTGCTTTGCTTGGAGCCCTTCAGAAATGGAAGTTTTCTCTGGGATATGAACGCAAAGCCACAAGCTAACCACACTTGGAGGCTGTAGAAGGTTACACGTTCACACTGCTTTGCTTACTGAAAATAAGCATGCAACTTCCAACTGGAGTTGTATTTCGCCAGCCTCATTTCATTATACGTTGTTCGTCGTGGATAGTCAGGTTGCGTCCACCGGTCTACTCCAGTATTCGGATACAATGATTATTGTATACTGTCTCTGTTGGTGCCTCGCCATGTTCAACCACGCACTCGGCCAAGTCCAAACCTTTACTCCTGCAGGGGAAAAGGCAATAGCATACAGCGTAAATGTCCCTGAATCAACTGCCAGATCCGGCTCCGGGCCCATTTTCATTCAGATGCGATCCACCAAAGAGGTGCAGTGGTTCGCATGGGGTCAGGGGCCGTGATGCAAGGGGCCAATATATTCGTCGTCTATGCGAATGAGAACGATATCACCGTCTCGCCGCGGTTGGGAGTCGAGCACGTTGAGCCTCTGTACAACCCGCAAGCTCGATTCTCGATCCTCAATGGTAGTGGAATTAGCAATGGAACCTTCACGGCGAACATACGGTGCGATAGCTGTATCACCTGGCCAGGGGGCCATGAGGATGTCACAAGCACATCAAGCCCGTGGATATGGGCCGTGAAGCACGGTCCCACGCTAGGTTCAGACGGCGTCTCTGCGACTATCACTCTCCATGACCTCTCAGGTGTTGCAACCGTCAACATGAAGCAGGCAACCGGTGGCAGCTCCGAGAATCCATTTCTCGGTGGATCGATGTCGTCGAATTCCAGCTCCGCGCAGGCCGTCCAGACGGTCAACTCGGAATCAGTCAGGAAGAAAAGAATCGCACACGCCGTCCTCATGATAGTCGCTTTTGCTCTCCTCTTCCCGCTAATCGCCCTTGGAGTCCCTCTTTTCCCATCCCCCAGGACAGTGACTATCCACGCCTCGCTGCAGCTCTGCACCCTCGCGCTGGTAATCGCGGGATTCGGCCTCGGCATCTCAATGGCCAAAAGCCTGGATCTCACCGGCTCCTACCATCCCATTATTGGCATTGTAGTTGTTGCATCACTAATCCTGTTCCAGCCAGCGATGGGCCTCGTCCAGCATTGGTATTTCCGCCGAGCGGGGAAGAAGAGTATCGCCGCCTATGTACATCGGTGGCTTGGTCGTACGGCTATCACTCTGGGGATTATCAACGCGGGGCTTGGATTTCGTCTCACGGGCATTGGGACTTCTCTGGCTCCTACTGGGGCGGTCATTGCTTATGGCGTGGTTGCTGGGCTCGTCTGGGTTGGCTATGTCTTGATGGTTAGCTTCCTCTCGTACAGGAAGCGTCAGTCGCGAGCTTAGGTCTGTCAATGTGATTTGCCATATCTGCTTATGTATATGCGTTCTATGGTATCTGCCGGTGAAGCTGGCCAGGGGTATAGATCGCTCCTATATCGTATCTTATGAATTTCGCCCAGAAATTCAGATCATTGTGGGTCTGCAATTCTACATATGTGGCCAGCCATATACTTATTTGTACAAGTTCATACTAGACATGGGATTTGAGGGTATTGGGCTTAAGCCGGTGCAAGCGTAGACATTACTTTCAGCCCAATTGCTCCACTGCGAGGATTTGAGCGGATTTGCGCATTTAATCTGCGTCTTAAGTCTTGGTGCGGGGACCAGACCAACTGTGAAGCACCATGAATTGTATCATATTGCTGTGCCAGCCTTTCTCCAACGATATGCAGTCCTCGACTCAAGCTGTCCACTGCCTAATCATGACATGCGCCATCCTGCCATCCTGATGAGGGCTGTGCATAGCGCCCCAACAACAGTTCGCCGACTACAATGCCTCCAACCACCGCGCAGAATACCCCCACATTGAATGTCATCACTGCTAGCATTCTAAACAGTTCAGCGATTAGCCATGACAGTCGGGCAGGATGCTATGGCCTGTGAAACTTACAATGCGTAGCCCACCAGCGCCCGGAGTCCCTCGAGTAGTGAGCTCGTTCCATCCCATCGCCAACTCCAGCGTCTGTACGCGCTCCACCAACGACGCTTGAAGAGGGGGCCTTGCGACTCCTGATTTAAGCTGGAGGGGAATTCATCGCGTGTGTGTTCAGGATCCCACTCCAGGAACGGAGCCGACGGGAAAGACGCCTCGTGGTCAGGGTCGGTTTCGGCGACCTTCATGTATTGAGGCAGGGGACTCATGCGGTCCTTGGGAATGGCATGTCGGCGTCGCGTGCTGGGCAGCTGTAGCTTCGGGACTCCCCTCTCAGCCGGCCGAGTGTGCTTCACGTCGAGCTGAAACTTTAGCACGCCCAGGAAGCGATTGAACACTGCCAGGGCGAAGAGGAAGATTAACGTAAGACTGTAGGAGGCTGCGGTGGTAGTCGTCCAACCGTGGAAGAAGAGTGTAATTTCGGTGCTGGTGTCGAAGACCATTGACATGGCCATCCCCTTGCTGTGGTCGCTGTGGTCCATCCTGTTGATATTGCAGTCCCAATGAATATACAGGGCCGGTGACGGGTCCTAGATATCCCATTCAGCGGTTGCTAGATCGCCTGCCAAGTCACCCGAGCCCTATGATGATCCATCACAAGGTCACCGTGAACACTTGGCTAGGAGACGTAGGCGCGGGAGTTTGAGCAGATTCTGAACCAAATAGAGAACCAAACCCGGCAGCATCACTCTGCGAGCCCGATTGCAACGCTACTTTCGAACAGATTCTCTCTCCGTGCTCAGTCGCGAGAACATATATAAGCTTATCTCTGAACCTACCCCTAACTTGAACTTACATATACAGCGGCTTCGTCCGCTTGGTGAGACACTTCAATATGCACTGCACTACTATCTCTACTACGCTAGAAATAGCCGTCTAGACAGCTCTTAGTCGAGTGGCTTTCTGACTCGCCAACTTTGACCTAGACCCACTTGAAAGACATGCGCGCATATCCTTGCACCCGACCTTAATATAGGGCAGTATTATGTATGATTTAAGGACCATTGGACGTCCGGGCCGATAAATTATCGATCCAAGTCTCTTGATTCAGAGAAAGACAGACACCTGCGAATCATACCTGCACCACCAGCACAGTGGTCTGACAAGTTTGCGTAGTATTGCTTCCACATGGACCTCACTATGATGGCGCCACAAGTCACTGCCTCAGCTTCAGTTCCGACTGCATAAACATGCGCAGATTTGAGCATGTTACTAGACCCAAATAGGCGCAGGCTGCACTTGTCTACTACCAATCGAGCGCTTGGCTACTCGACGGCTATTATAGACAGGATAGATGTGATTAAGGACACTGTTGCTTTTTGGCCATCCTACATCTCGCTTCGTCGCTGAGGAAAATGATTTATTTAGTCAAACCCCCTTTATAATGTGACATCCTTGGAGAAGTTCGTCCCTTGACCTCGATCGCGACCGCACTGCTGTACAATGGCGGCAACCACTGAAAAGGTCGTCAGTACCCGAACGGCAGATAACAGCGAGGCTGCCTCCGACACGGTGAGTCTGGAGGAAAAGAACGAGCGAGAACTCATCGAGCATCCCAATGAGATCACGCAAGATGCCCAGATTGGAGTGCAAAAAGCCGAAGCCACGGCCTTGGTATGGTCCAAGACGGCCTTGTATGCCACATATGCCTGGTGAGTAAAGAGCTAGCTATCGACTTTGTACCAGGACAGACAGCGATTGCTAATGGATACCGTGATATAGGATCTGGGTGTGCTTTTTTATTCTAAACCTGCAATTTTCCATTAGCAACAATATGATCTATTACGCCTATGCAGGCTTCTCATCGGCTCCCCAGATCTCCCAGGCTTATATTCTCTCAACTATCATCGGGGGAGTGCTACAGCTGCCTATCGCAAAGATTCTCAATCTCTGGGGCCGGGCCGAGGGCTTTCTCGTTTTCGTTGGGGTCCTTATCCTCGGGATTATCGTGATCGCCTCTTGCAATGGCCCCAATGGCTTTGCAGCCGGATACACGCTGTATTGGATTGGTTACGCTGCCGTCAACTTCGTCCTGGTTGTCTTTGTCGCCGACGCATCTGGACTGCGAAATCGAGCATTTGCCTACGCATTCATTGGCACCCCGACCATCTGTACAGCCTTTGTCGGCCCGCTCGCTGCTCAGGCGTTCTATACCCATTCCACGTGGCGGTGGGCCTACGGCTGCTTCGCCACCATTATCTTCTTTACCTTTGTGCCTCTGGCGCTGGTCTTCAAGTTCTACCAGCGCAAGGCCGAGCAGATGGGCGTGTTCGTCCGGAACCCCAGCGGCCGGACGCCGCTCCAGTCGTTCCTGCATTACTTTCACGAGTTCGACATCATCGGCGCCTTTCTCCTGATGGCCGCCTTTGTCCTGTTCCTCTTGCCCTTTAGCCTTGAGACCTACGGCTTCAGCGGGTATTCCTCGGCAACCTTTATCAGCATGGTTATCATCGGCGTGCTGCTCTTCCCCGTCTTCGCTATCTGGGAGAGATTCTTCGCCACGACCGCTTTCATCAAGTGGGAGCTCTTCAAGAACCGGACCGTTCTCGGGGCCGGCATTTTGTCTGCTGTCATTTTCCTCAACTACTACACCTGGGATCAGTATTACTACTACTACCTCCAGGTCGTCTACAACCTGGATACGGCCAACACAGGCTACATGGCACAGATATACAGCGTCGGCTCCACCATCTGGGCAGTCCTCTTCGGCATCTGGATCCGCCAGACCAAACACTTCAAGAACACCTGCCTGTATTTCGGCGCCCCGCTGATGCTCCTCGGCGCCGGCCTCATGATCCACTTCCGCGGCACCGAGAGCAAGATCGGGTATCTCGTGATGTGCCAGATCTTCATCGCCGTCGGCGGGGGCACGCTTGTTATCGGCGACGAGATGGCCGTCATGGCGGCCGCGGACCGCGACGGCATCCCCATGATGATCGCCATGATCAGCCTGGCTGGGAGTTTCGGGGGTGCGATCGGCTACGCTGTTGCCGTGGCCATCTACTCCAACACCTTTCCGCAGGCTCTGCTCCGTGGGCTTCCGGATGATATGAAAGCTGACTATGCTACTATTTATCTTGGGGGCTCGACGGCGCAGGTGATGTACCCGCCTGGCAGTGCGGCCAGGAATGCGATCAATCGGGCGTGGACGGAGAGCCAGAAGTACGAGTGTATCACGGCTACGGCGATTGTGATTCTTGCGTTCCCGGCTATTGCTATGTGGAAGAACTACAATGTTGATAGGAAACAGGTCAAGGGCACGGTCATCTAGTCTGGCAGGATCTGTTAAATTGTTGTGATATGCCGGTCCGAACTGCCCATAGATAGATAAATTACCTGATTAACTTACCCCTGGTACCGCCAGAGGAACCAGTACTCCCAGTGCGATAACAAAAGAGACTCTAGATCAAACAGGGTAAATAAAGAGGACGGACTGACAAATCACCCCACTCATGTCCAGTCCCTGTGCCTCCCCCAACTGCCAGGATATAACCTCCAGGCCTTCAGCCTGGCAGCGTTAATTCTATCACGCCTTCCCACCTTAGAGGGCAAAACGCGGTGTCTCAAAGTTCCCTTCGGACATTCTGTCATGCTATGGTTGGGGCGACCACTGTTTTGGTGTCTGTGCTATAACCTACTGGCAGAATGAAACTAATGTGGCAGCTTCAGCAGAGTGAGAATATATAGAAAAGTTACTAGGCCATGGCTGGCTATGACGTGTCGCTAGCGGGATAATCAGGTTATGGGGGGCTTCTGAAGAACCAGGTTAAGTTAAAAAGCCATTTTCCCGACTAAAGCATACTAGTTATGAAAACGGCTAATGCACCATTCAGACTTCGTTCAAATTTAATTACTGAAATTCATTACTAAAACTAAATTCCTACTGTATAGCCATGTGTAGTAGTGGACTTGTGTACCATGTTGGATGGACGCCGGCAACAGTATGTGAGGACCCTCTTATCTTTGGAAGAGTTATGTTCCTGGCAGATGACAAGGAGCACAACAAGACTCTTTCATCATATTGCTAACAATTAGCTGAGGAAGGCTATGCAACAGAAGTTATTAATAATGCTATTAACATAGTCCTATTCTTAATGCCTAGTACAATCATTGTTCACCTACCATGCATGGCAAGAGACTAGGATGTTATTTATAGATTAATCACTATATCATGCAATAGCTTGATTGAAGCCGCGAAGGTCCTGCACAAGCACTGGCGGAAACAGCCCAGTAAGCCCAAGCTGAATAAGATCTTTTCCATTATCAGGAAAGACTTCAGCATTGGCAACACAGCTGCCTATGCACTGCATAGGTTGTCACACGTCTTAAAAAGAGAGATACCAGATTTATTCAGTGGGCTATATAAGGAGGACTAGGGCTGCTTCCCACTCTATGCCTTTAAGCATGCTCAAGGCTTTGATGTTGTCAAAGTCTTAGAAGGTGTACCACAGATGGCTTTACTGATGCCTTTTCAAGAGGCGGCAAGTGATAGGAGATGGCTATAATTTAGTGCTGAGGGTACATACCTAATAACAGGTGGGACCCATGGTATGGGTCTTGAAGTTGCTAAGTGGATGTGCGAGTGAGGTGCCTGTAATCTCATCCTTCTATCACGCCACGGCCTACAACAGAATCAAGAGAGCACGCCCTAGGATATGTATATGCAAAATCTCACCACCCGCATTGCTGAGCTTGAGGGCCTAGGGTTAACCATCCATGTGATAGCTATTGACCTCAGCAGACCCAATGTGTACTTTGTGTTAGCCCAAGCCATCCATGAGTTGAATATACCACCTGTCAGAGGTGTTTTCCACGGTGCTGGTACTGCAGGCTATCATACACTCAAGAAACACACTCTTCTTGACATGGGAAATGTATTGGCGCCTAAGGTAAGGGGTGCTCTGCATCTTGACAAACTATTCCCACCAGGCAGTCTTGATTTTTTTGTCCTCATGTCATTAGTTAGATAGCTTATGGGATTTCTAGGATAGCTGTCCTATGGCCCTGCAAATGCGTTCCTTGATGGACTTACAGCACATAGAAGATGTTAAGGAGACTATAGCACATCAATCCAATAGGGTAGCTGGTGGGGTGTTGGAATGATGGTGACAAGTATGTTAGTTATGTGGATGTTGAATAGAGAAATGGAAGCATCAGGCATTGCTGCTATTAGCAAGGAAGAGGCCTTGAATGCTTTGGACTAAATTGCCTTCCTTCAAACTAACCACGCAGTTATGGTGTGTATACTAGAACTAGAAGCTAATAAGTAGCCTCAGCATCCCATGCTTACAAATATAACCCTATATAAGGAAGAACCATGCATGCAAACAGCAGCGTACCCTAACTACCTGGATTATGTAGTAGCAGTGGTTGGCATGGCATGTTATATAGCAGCTAGGGAAACTTTAGAAGACCTATAGGACATGATTTAGAGTGGTAAAACCATGGAGCGTGAGATAGATATTAAGAGGTTTCTAAATGCAGCTAGCAAAGGCAAGTTATGGGGAAATTTCTTGTCTAATATCAAGGCATTTGATTATTAATTTTTTAAAAAGTTAAAGTGTGAAGCAGCATTACTAGATCCGCATTAGTGCTTACTACTGCAAACCGCATATCATACCCTCGATTCAGCAGGGTCTTTCGGATTTGACTAACAGAATGGGCTGGAAGGCTATGACAAGGACCCTAATAAGCACCTAACAGGTTGCTTCATTAGGATGAACTTGCCTAATTATCTATTAAACCTGGCTTGCCACCCACCCTTGCCTTATATGGCACTTGGAATGCTCTATTTATTCATATCAGGATGATTAAGCCACTATTTTGGCTGGACAGGCCCCTTACATGTTATTAATACAGCCTGCTCATTAGCAATGGTTGTAATCCACCAAGCTTGTTGGGCTATCCAAGCAGGCGAGTGCACGCGGGCTGTGGTGGGTGGTATTAACCTAATTACAAACACAGCCTTATTTCAGGCCCTGCACGCGGGTGGCTTTATTAACCTAACTGGCGCCTGCAAGATGTTTGACGCACATGCAGATGGTTACTGTCGTGGTGAGGCTGTTAGTCTTATGGTACTAAAATCACTTTCTAGGGCTTTGAATGATAAGGATCACATTAATAGTATCCTGTTGGCTACTGCTAATAACCAGAATTTAAATTACACCTCTATTATAAACACGGTTCTGGAAAGCTAAGTGGCATTATATGAGGATGTCTTGGCTCATGCACAAGTAATACTAAATGATATCTCTTATGTTAAGGCACATGGCACAGGCATATGTGCTGGTGATCTAGTTGAGATTACAGCAATCTGGCATGCTCTGGGCGGAAAGAGCAGGCCTAGAATACTGCACATAGGAGCTGTGAAGCCTAATGTTAGACATGCTGAGGGTGCCTCTGGTGTGATATTACTAATTAAAGTGCTTCTTATAGTAAAATATAGCCAGATTCCCCCATAGGCTTAGTACTAAATATTGAATCTAAATATTCCTCCCCTCAAGCCCAATCAGCTAACTATTTTGACGAGCCTAAAGGAGTGGAGTGATGATTTGTGTTTGGTACTTATAAATAATACTGGTGCTTCTGGAAATAATGCTTTTATAGTTATTATGCCTCCTCCACCACTATTATTTTCAGTAGAGCTAATCCCTGAGACCCTTAACATCTCTATATAGCTAGTTTTTGTTTCTGCTGCTTCTAAAGTTAGCCTTGCGGCCTACTGCAAGAAATTAAAAAGCTAGATTAGGGTAGTAGCCTTCTTATTTGAGCTGATTCGCCACTTGGCTTACACTCTGGTGATAAGGTAGAATCATTACCTCAAGCACATATTCTGCACTACAGCTACTTCTGGTTAGTAGTTCAATAACCCTGCCAGGGCTTAAATCTACCCTAAGAAAGGAAACCTGCTAAATTACTTTAATAATTTAGTGCATAATTTACATGCCCAGCTCACTGACCATGAGAGGTATTTCATAATATTTTCAAAACCTAAGCCTGTTATGCTGCTCTTTAGCAGCCAGAGTGGTAATACTATCTTACTAGCAAAGCCCCTCTATAACAGTTTACTACTGTTCTGCAAGCACTTGCATTAATGTGAGGAGGTGGTGTGCTTACTTAGTCTCCCTAGTATGCTACAGCCTGTCCTCCAGGGGATTAAGAGTGAGGATAATCTCATTACCTGCCATGCCTCTATATTTACTATTTAATACTCATGCGCCATGTTGTGGATTAACTTAGGTTTAAAACCTCAGGCAATCTATGGCCACTCATTGGGGGAGTGGGTAGTAATGACTGTTGCTAGCATCATAATATTAATGGATAGTATGAGGCTCATCACAGGGTATATGGCCTTCTCCACAAAATTTGCCTTAGTGTGTTTGCTCACAGGCTAATAGTTTATGGATCTAATGATGCGGTATTATTAATATATATTATCTAAATAATAGTAGAGCAGGACGCGCACTCCTTATCCAAAAGCACTAGGGTAATGACAGGGGTGTAATGCTAGCCATAGAGGCAAGCTTCCTAGAGATAGGTATAATCATCATGGATTATTTATAGCTATTCTATGACAGGAACCCAGAGATTAATATTAATATCATATATTATAATGGGCTAAATAACTACATTGTTGCAGGCAGTATGGCTGCAGTGGATGAGCTATAATTATACCTGAAAGAAAGGAAGTCCATTGGTGAGAATGTGTGATTTAAGGTTCTAAAGGGCATGCATGCATACTACTCCACTCTAGCTGACTTAATTATCTACTATTATGCTGAGCTGGCAGCCTCTATTACCCTCTAGGTTAGTGTTATAAAAAGCTTCTGGGATCTTTCAGGATCTTGCAGGCTAGGGAGAATCATACCCTCTAGTAGCACCAGCCATTTACTATTTATTAGGATGCAACCTTCCTATTTAAGTCTTGCCATGAAGGCTCTTGGATGAGTTGTGACTGTAATTTAATTGCCTGCAACACCCGTGGACTAGTGTACTTTGGGCAGGCTATTTTGCACATAGTGGATTCTCTCAGACTATGTATATTCCTTAAAGCTGGTATAGGCAGTCCCATTATTGCTATGGCGTAGAAAGCTCTATTAGGAGTTGCTAGGCAACACACTTTCGCGGCTATGAATGGAAAAGAGCTAATATAGTCACTTATAGATATTACAGTCACACTCTGGAAATAAGGACAGCTAAATATGTAGTTTTAGCCATTCCACTATAGCTAGCGGAAGAGTTACATATCCATATCTCTACTACTGTATTAGTTTGAAGAGACTAATCACTGGGTGGGATACAGGGGTCTAGTTAATGATGGAAAGGAAAGCTTAGATGTACTCTTGCTAGTGCATCTTGGACGATGTCCTTACTGTCTAAGGCAGCTAAGTGATTTTCCTTACATTGCATACCATAAAACCCTGAATACAGGGGGACCCTGTATTGTCTTCTAAGTCAACACACGCAGTAAGTGTTATTAGGACCTTATAAAGGGCCATAGCATGGTGGGGTTTCCTATTTATTTGGCTTTGATGTATCTAGAACTTGCTTTACATGCTATCGCCTTGCTACCTGATACACAGCTGATAATTAATAGTGTGGATATTGTAGTGGATACTTTAGAGGTGAAAATGCCTCTTGGCTTGGGCTAAGAACTATCTATCTAACTAGCCTTGGCAAAAAGTTTGGAGGGCTCCTGGAGATTTGAGTTGTCATCTACTAGGGGTATAGGTAGGTTAATCTTGCATGGAGTGGGAATTATCTCCTTACATGAGAGATACCTTAAACATCTTAACACACGTGGAATGAGAGAGAAATGGACTCAAATCTCTGAATTACTTGGAGATAATGATGCAGAGTTGATATATGGCAACATGGTATATAAGGTTTTCAGAAAGGTTGCTAAATACTCACGGGCCTATTAGGGTATTTAACAGTTGGTTGGGAGAGGCTCTGAAGGAGCTGGTTTAATTGTGATGGCTTTAGATGCTCTGGATGATGCAGCTTGATTACCTAATGATATGATTATAGACCTGCTGGTTATTGACAACTTTTTATAAGTAGCAGGGATATTCATGCACTTACTGCATGGCAGTGATAAGGATGGAGAGGAGATTACTGATTTGTGTATCTGTACCAGTATTGGATCTATAGGACTACTTAATAGACTCCGCAGCTCTAGTAAATACAGGGTGCATGCAAAGATTGTGTGGGAGAGTAATAAAGAAGTGGTGCTTGATGTGTCTGCCTTTGAGCATAAAGGTGAGGAAATTATATGGTCTGCTTAAGGTGTTAAGTTTGTGAAAGTTCTACGCAACCTGTTGGCCAGGATGATAGCTAAAAGCAACATGAATATGGACTGTAAGAGGGAGCTAGCTGGCAGGCTGGGGGTTGCTACTTAAGTTCTGGGTACTGGGGATGACAACCATGTTCCTAGCCCTGGTGGTCTAAATCCAGAATGTTGCTGTCATGACCAAGGAATAATGGATGTGCTATATGGCATCTAAAATATACTTAGTAAGATGCTTGACCTTCCAAGGGGTGAAGTCATATAGCATGCATTGCTATAGGACCTTGGTGCAGACCTGTTTATAACTTCAGAGATTCTGGCTGGTATAAATGACATGTTTAATATTAATATTTCAACCTAAGATTTTGCTACTGCTGTAGATGTTGTGACATTATGCTATATAGTCTCCTCCTAACTTGATGATAATGCATGTCATACAGAGCATTACAGCGCTTAGGAAGGCTAAGAGCTTAGTTTAATGATTGACATGCCCTAGGGCACCACTTTGAAGTTACAGCAGATGATTTTTAATATTCTCAGTTAATCTCTCAATGTGGATGTTGTGGAAATTTGGATGGATTTATAATTAGAAGACCTAGGCGCTGACTCTCTTATTGCAGTGGAGATTATTAGCAAGTTGAATAACATATTTAGTCTTGACACTTCGCCTACTAAGTTCATATCTGTGATTGATGTTGTATTGCTCTGCAATCTTATCACAGATGCTTCAGGCATAGGCATAGTGGAATAAGCTAGTAAGAGCTCCACTCATACAACCCATGGACTTGCTGTCCCAGCCATGTCTGCCCCTAAAGACCTGGCAAAAAATGATAATATAATGCAGAAAATATACAACGCAGAATTATTGCACATGTCTTTCCAGGAGATCTGCCATACCTTTGATGTTCATGCTAAGAGCACTAATTTGACAGGGTTCTGGGAACAGGTTTATCCCTAGCAACTGAGAGCTATGATAGCCTTTATAATTAAAGCTTTTGAAAAACTTGGATGCCCTATATGAAAATTGGTCTAAGGGGAAAAGCTTCCTGGCCTATGAGGGACGCAGGCCTGATGGCAAAGAGAAGTTTAATGACTCTGGGAAATCCTAGAAGAGGCTGGTGTTGTTGATATAATAAGAGACAGCTTTCTATGTGGCCTAACCCCTCTGGACAGTGTGGTGTTTAGTTAACCTGCTAAGAAACTAAGCACTAAGCTTATCTCAGCATTCCCTTAGTATGCATTGTTGCACGGCCTATTCCATCTGCTAGGACCTTATCTAGCTAAGAGTTTAACTGGTAAGATAGACCCTGTTTCTCTTCTTTTTGATAATGATAGGGGCTGCAATCTCCGTAAAGAATGCTATGCTAGTGCGCCCAGTCTTCTAGCTGCCATGAAATTATTGTGTGAATTCTTCTTAGTCACTATTCACTCCTAAGTTTGTGATAGCGAGCCCTTCTGTGTTATTGAGATTGGTGCTGGCATAGGTGGCATGACTAAGTATCTTATGCCTCTTCTCCAGGCCACTAGGCGCCCTTTCATGTATACTTTTACTGATATATTAGCATCCTTAGTCGCACGCGCTAAGTGCACAATGTTTAAGGGAGTCCTAGGAATGGATTTTTAGAAATTAGATATTGAGAAGGACCCTCCTGAGGAGCTGCTTAGTAAATATTATGTTGCGCTGTTAACTAATTGCATATATGCAATACATGACCTCCAGCATACCCTGGGAAACATTCGCAAACTAGTATGTTCTGATGACGGCCGTGTCATGCTGGTTGAAGGGATGTAAAAGCAGCCATGGTATGACCTGGTCTATGGTTTTCTGGATGGCTGGTGGTTATTTAATAATAACTATTTCTATGCACTACAGAGCCTGTGGGCATGGGAAAGGGCGCTATAGGATGC